TTGACAAGAATGAGAGAATAGAGGCACCAAAAAACCCATTATAAATAGAATGTATCAAATGAACCACTATAAATTTATTAATAAGCTTAGTGAATGTGAATAGGTTGAATTCTCTCATTAAAAGGCAGACTTTTGATTGCATAAAAGAAAAAAAAAACATAAAGTGAAATCCAGCTTTGTTGTTTTCGAGAAACACAAGAAGGCTGAAATTAAAAAGAAAAATCTGACAAAGTTAGCATTCATCAGATGCAAAGGAATGAATTGAGTATTATCAGTTTTAAAGTCAGACAAAATAGAATTTGAAGTGAAAAAGCTCAAAAAGGTGTATTTCCTATTGGTAAAGGAAGCAATGTGTTAAAAACATTATCAGTCACCTCACCACACAGCTTTAAATAGGAGACAAAACTGGTGGAAATATAAGTAGAAACTGAGGAAACCACAGCTGCCCTGGGGTAGGACGCTGTGCACAGAGGCTGGTCAGCGAGGACCCGCAGGCCGTGCCTAACGCAGGGGACAAGCCGGGGTGATTGTCCCGTAGAGCCTGCATGCCACCCAACACACATGTGTGGAAGGGACATCGGTGGTTTGAACAAAGAAGTAAAACGTTTGGGACATAATCTTTTGGGGACAGGCAGACCCTGGAGAGAGAAGGTAAAAGCCCCAATTATTTTCTTCCACCTCACAGATTTTGTTATTTTCATGTGATATTTGAACATAGAAGGAGCCCAGCGGAGCAGAAGTCACGGGCTCGGCTTAAGGCTGTATGACCTAAATCATGTGGACAGGCGCAAACATGCAGTGGGAGAGCAAGAGGGCTTTGGAGGGAAAGGGAGGGGAGCCCTGGTCCTCCCCAGGGCCAGCAGAAGGAGCTCTGCTGTCCTGCCAGTGTGGTGGTGGCTGCCAAGTGTGGCCCAGGAAGTCACATGGACATCGCTGTGGGGGAAGGAGTCCTTCATCTTCTCAAGCTAAAAGCCAACAGGGCCCTTTATTGGGTGGTGGAAGTCGTTAGGAATGTGACCCAATGACTTTCACCACGTCTGTGTCATTCCTCTAGCCTCTTTTGTTCTCTGTCTCTGTTCTCCTCCCTCTTTCTCTTTCTCTCCTCACTCTCTTTTTCTTCCATTGATTCATTCTTCTTACTCCCTCTCCCTCCCTCCCTCTCTTCCTTTCTTCCACCTCTTCCTTCAGCTCAGTTGAATTCTACGGACCAGTTTCAACCACAAGAGAACATCCAAGACTATGAGGAAAAAAACCTCAAATACCCCCATATATTTTTGCCTCTTCATTCACCTTTTCACCGTTGACCTGCAATTATTTCCTATGAGAGGAGGAGCCAGGAGGTATACAGAGACCGTGCAGGACAAACCTCTCAGTTGTTCTCTTTTTTAAGCAACTGTAATGTCAACGTATAATTCAGGGGAAGGATGAATAAGACTTTTTTCAGCTTTCAAGTTTATTATGTCTGCTGTCTCTGTCTCTGCTTGCTGAACACACTTAAGAGTTGGCTTATAACTCCATACGCTCACTCGATTCATGTTACATGCCATGGAATGTAGACAGTATATATCTGAGTCTCGCATTTTAATCTGCATGCTGTCTGCTGGCAATACAAATGTACTTTATGCTGTGGAATAGATACAACTGTGTAAACTAAATCTGGGGTAAATGAATCATATTGGAAAGATTTACCCTAGCATTTAAGAAATTTTAGTTAAATGGCAAAAGTCACCAAGAGGAGTCACTATTAAAGGCTGGCATTTCTATTTATGGGCTTTTCCTAAATTAGGAAATGCTGGCCTCAAGTTTTTCAGCACAAAACAAAAGGATGTTAGAATCGTGTGTGTTTGTATCTGCATGTTTGTGGATGCATGTTTGTATGTGTGTGTGCGTTTGTGAATACGTTTGTGTTGTGTGTTTGCAGGTGCCTGTCTGTGTGTTTGTGTTTGGGGAGGCAGCCATGGTTGCTCTTATTAAGGTATAATTTCCAAATGTATGTGGTTAGTGACTAGACTGCTAAAAGGATTGGCTTTATTTAACCCTAAATAATGGGTGTTTATTGCAAGTGTCCTGTGCATTAGCATAACAGAGCAGAGCATTTTATCCTGCTTAAGCCCCGTTCTTTTGCAGCGGCCTTTACCAAGCACACAATCTTACAGCAGGCAGACTCCTAATCGACCACCATCTGCTGTCTCTGACTTGGAATCACAGTGAGATTTGTTCCGCCAAACAACCAATGATCTGGTCTGCCCGTCCAATTAGTTAAATAAACTGAAAGAGCTTTGCTGACAAAGTAGTGATAAATGTTCCTATGATAATTAAAGAATGGCGTTTTCACATCACATCAATTGGATGTGTTTAATCTTGCACCGGCCATCACCCATACATTTAAAAAGATGCAGGGAATTAAAGGGAGACATGGATGAGTGGCTCCAGATCAGAATGCAAAGGTAGGGAGCATCGAGTCCAGTGTGGGTGCCCCCGCTGCCTCGGACACTGGGCACACTGCAGCCTAGTCCCTCTGTGTCCCATGTCCCTGAGGGCAGTGTGCTGAGGGCCATGCGTGCATTCACCGAGGAAACGGAGGGCAGAGCCCTGCACCTAATGCAGAAACTCCGCCAGCAAGGCATCTTCTTTTTAGCAATCCTTTGGAAAGGGAAACGGGTAAATTGAATGACTACAAAAGCAAGTTCTGCCATGTATTTTGCATTGCCATGACATATATTAAAACAAGTTCACAACAAATGTGTTCCAGAGTTTATTACGATAGATGCATAACAGGAAGCTCAAAGATGACAGAGCTGGTACTCCTTAGAGGCCGACCCGAGGAGATGCCACTCAAGCTACCCTTTTGTTGGATCTCTGCAGAGAAGCTAGTCTCCAGCCTCCCCTGCCTGCAGTCAGGGAAGCACGCACAGGATGAAAGTAAATCCTGCACAGAAATCCTGTAATTCCAGAATTAGTCAAACATTTCAAATACACACATTGAAAAAATATTTATATTCTCCTTTAGCCTTCATGAAACCATTACTGACCCTGACAATCACATCTGACATCGCAGAGAAAGGCCTTGCAAGGATCTAATTCTAGCTTAAGCCTTATCTGTGCACAGAACTTCAACTGGAGCAACAGCAAAATCTACTGAAAAGAAGCACTTGCAGGCTGGGCGAAGTGGCTCAAGCCTGTAATTCTAGCACTCTGGGAGGCCGAGGCAGGAGGATGGCTCAAGGTCAGGAGTTCGAAACCAGCCTGAGCAAGAGTAAGACCAAGACCCCATCTCTACTAGAAATAGAAAGAAATTAATTGGCCAACTAAAAATATACAGAAAAAACTAACCGGGCATGGTGGCACATGCTCGTAGTCCCAGTTACTCGGGAGGCTGAGGCAGAAGGATTGCTTGAGCCCAGGAGTTTGAGGTTGCTGTGAGCTAGGCTGACGCCATGGCACTCTAGCCTGGGCAACAGAGTGAGAATCTGTCTTAAAAAAAAACACAAAAAAACAGCACTTGCCACCTGCAGACAAGGGTAAAATGCAAGCAAGGAAGTCCAGAGTTTCTACCTAAAATACACAGGCATTATCTACAGGAACAGACAGAAAGGCAATTCAGTTTTTAACAAGTCTTGGGAACCTGGTGTGGAACAGAGTATTTGACTATTGAATATGTGGCGAATTTGGATTATCATAGTCTTTTTGTTGACAAACTGCACAAGCCACACAGATTTGAGCTGTGGGCTTTGCAGCCAGAGTTGAGACAGATGTTTTCAGGGACCATATCTCAGATTCCCATGCTAAAGCTATTGTTCAAGGGGATGGAAATATGCAGGGGGCATTAAACCATTCCACAGCTGCTAGAAAGCACTGCCTTCCTGTTTTCCTGATTTAGACAATGGAGACGCTAAGAAGAAAAATAATAGGAAAAGGCTTTCCTATATTAGCTTTAAAAAAAAAAAAAAGACTGTTATTTTGGATTTAGTCATTTTTTGGTCAAATCTCATCTCTCTTCTCTTAATTGTCGCAGAAGTATTTATGGGAATGAAGGTCAGGACAAAAGTACCAAATCTATCCATCCAAAAGCTGCTCAGTGATAATATGCTCAAACAAGGGCTCTGGATTAGGACTTAGAAGATGACAGCAACTTTAAAAGAAATCCATTTCCACTCAGTTCACCCCGCACAGTGGACATAAGCATGCACAGGAAAAGGTTTCACTTTTACTCCTGTTTTGCCTGATCACAGTGAAGAAGACACTAGGCTGGCCCTTCCTTTAGGTCTGCCACTGCATAACACGCAAGGGTGGCCCGCAAGGCCAGTGGTGACCACAGCCGGCTTCGGCATCCTCAGAGTCCGGTGTCATTTGTCCCTTCAGCGTGGCTGAACAAAGCGATATGCAGATATGCAGCACCACGATGTTATGACAGACAGTGGGGAATAGTTGCATGAGCAACCACAGGTGCAGACCAGCTGCGTCTGGTCCTGCCTCGAAGCCCAGCTGCCGTGCAGGGGCGGATGCCCGCCACAGAGGATGCTCACCAAGTCTCTCCTAAGCCCTGTGGACGTTGTGGACAATCGTCCTAACCTGGATTTTTCTGCATTCCTCAGATTATCTGAGGGAATTGTCTACCCTGCATCATTCTTCTCCAAATAACGAACAAGAAAAAAAGAGCAATGAAGGTCACCTGAAATCCAGGAATGAGTGGGCACAGCGAGTGGCATGTTTGAGGGGGTGTTCTCCCCTTTAGATTATTTGCTTTGGGAGGTGGGAAGGAGAGAGGGCAGAGTTTTTCTAAGAGTTTCCCAGAATTATTGAGTGAGCTATGGGAAATTATATTTGGACCAAAAAATCTCCATTGCCTTGGAGCCCAATGCCAAGTGGAACCTTCCTCATCTCCCCATCTCCCGGCTTCTGCTGCTGCTAGACAGGTCACTGGGACAGAAATACTGTATCTACCGAAAAGTTAGTACCTGGCAGAGTGCACCTATCCTTGCCCTCTCTTTGGCTGTGCCTCAGTCAGCCAAGCAATTGTCTCCTCTGGATAAACAATGGTTTGTCAATGGCCACTTGGCTGGTGGGCATCTGTTTATCCACTGCCATGGCCCCCAGAGGGGCTCCCTGCTGGTGATGGGGCTGCAAATTGCCAGTTACAGAAAAATTCAGAGACCAGATGATGCGCTGGGGTGTGTGAGCAATCAGAATGCTGTGAAAGCCAGAGGGTGCTTTGGAACCCCAGCAGACTCAAGGCCCACAAGATCTGTGCATGGGGTTGCTGTGCGAAACCTAGAATAGAAACGTCTCCTTCACCCCACATAAGGGCACGAATTTTAAAGGCCTAGAGGCAAAGGTGTTGCACTTGCATTTATTTACCTTAAGTGCAGATATAGGTTAGCAGCACATCCAGCCATGCCTTGAGTGTCATCGGAATGGCCAGACGTTTGCTTTCCAAACGACAGACTGCTCATCTCAACAGATTGCCTACGGTCGTGCGGCCAGTGAAGTTTTGTCCAATGGACCCAGCCTTTGTCTCCCTTCGGTGTCAAACATCGGAATTCCAGCTGAAAACTGGAGACTATGAGATGACTTTCAAAAACAGAAGTTGCAGATGCCCCGCTGAACCCTAGGAAGCCTCCATCTTTCCTGTCATCTCCCCCACCCTTTGAGTTTTCCATTTTCTTAAAAACAAAAATCTGAACTATAGCATCTACATTTCACAATTGATAAAAGGATATTTACTTAATTCCCAAGGCCGTGCACCTGGAGGGCATTCAGTTCCCGCCCCCCTCAGGCTGTGGCCCTCTGGGACAGATGTGTTGCTAAGGCCAGACCAGGAACAATAGGACACCCAGGCTCCGAAAGGCAAAGGCTTTGGAACCTTGGAAGGAAACACATTTCCTCTGTCTGCTGTCCTGCATGGTGGCAGCTAAAAGCCCCTGGACACTCAAGGCCTCCCAGAGATACTCAGACAACTTGTAACAACTCTGACCACGGTGAACAGGGAGGGGGGTGGCCTGCTTTCCAACACCCCAGGGGAGACAGAAAGAGAGAGAGAGAGAGAGAGAAGGAACAGTGCTATCAACCACATCGTAAGGGAAAAATCTTTGCAAATGTACTCTTTAAAACGAGGATATAAATTAAAATGGCTTCGAGCAATTTTTGCTGTTGCAAAAGCTTTTGGTTATTTTCTTTCCTTCTCCTTTCTGAGAGATATGACAAAAGTTCCTTAACCGTCCTCCCTGGCGAGTCCCTGTGCGTTACACCCACACGTCAGGATTCAAGTTCTCAGAATGTGGGATCCACTGTGAACTGTGAACCCCGCCAACGTGCTTCAGAATGACAGCTTTCAAAACACACCCTATCATCTCCCGCTCACACATCCTTTAGCAAACAGCCAGTGCGGAAGACTTTGCAGGGCTTCCCCCCTCTGCACTCAAAGGTCCAAAGTCAGAGCAGGGCGAATGGAGGCAGAGCCTCTGGCGGGCATCTCGGGCCCGCCCTGGCACGAAGGCACATTGTCCTTGACTTTTTTTCTTGTTATGTGTTTATCTCATCAGGAGTCAAGTGTGTGTTAATATCGGTACATTTAGACAAATAAATTCAAGTATCTGTGAAACCAATCCCTGGCCTCCCTCTCAACCCAGCCTTTCGGGTTGTATGTTTTCACAAACACCTTTAACTCGCTTAAAGAAACTTTTCAAACCCTGATCGCAAATAAACCCAAGATTATTAGAAACTTAAGAACTAGGGAACGTGATTTTGAAACGTCCTGCTTCCTTGCTGCCTAAGCAATTATCTGCTGCCGAAGCAGTTAATTGCACTTCTGGTCATCCCGGAGGATTTCAACAAGATCCGAGCAGCAGGGCTTGTGCTGGGGAAAGCATGCATGCCAATGAGTATGTCCAGAATCCGATCCCTCTGACAAGCAGAGGAGGCCTCCTGTCTAATTAAATAGTTAGTTCACTTAGTTTCTAGCTAGGAAGAGGAACAAATCACAGCAATCCTAATGAGCACTAGCATCTGCCGTTTCCTCCTAGATGGGAAAAGTGAGCAGAGAAGCCAGCTCCAAGGGAGCCCGTTAGCGCTCACTCCTCACCCCATCCAGAAGCAGTCACATTGGGATTGGAAAAGGGAGAAGGAGTGAGAATCGTTAACATTCACAAAATCCCCACAACGGGCAGGCCAACACACGGCTTCCACTTCTGGAACACCACACACGTGTGGAAAATACCTGCACATTCCAAACCGCCAGGCTCGTAGGAGAAGGTTTATGATTGCTGAGATTCTGGTCCAGTCTTTCCAAAGATGTGGGTCCTCCCTTGGGACTGGGGAGTTCAAAGCTCTGAGGATGGTGGCTGCCACCTCTAAGTGTCCCTGGGGCCACCTCGCCTTCAGCAGTCTGTCCCAGGTGTCGGGCTGTGGGGAACAAAAGACAACAGTGTTGGGAGCCACTGTGCCCCAGCCACGTGCACATCTGGACCCTCAGAGAAAGCCCCACAGGCACCCGTGCGTGCTGCAGATGTGGCGACCTGTGCTGAGTGGTGGGGGGGAAGGAGGGGCGCTGGAGGGGTTGGCGCCTGTCGTTGGTCATCTGTGGGGACCCTGTGTGGGCTCCTGGCCTCCGCCTCTTTGTACTGTGGCCGGGGTCTCCCCCTCCCCCCATTGCTGCCCCACTCCCTCTCCCGGGGTCCTCGGGGCGCCTTTACCTGTACTGGTTCTCCGTGGCCCTGCTCTCGGCTCGCTCTGGGGCCCAGGAGTAACTGTCCGCCGCGCTCTGGGGCTTCTTCTCCTTCTTCTCCTCCTGCTTCGCCCTCCGTTTACGGTAGACCAGCAGCCCTAGAGCCAGAGCCAGCAGAAGCAAGATGGCCACCACAGTGCCCAGGATGTAGAACAAAAGCAGCTTTTGCCCGTCAGTGCCGTCATCGCTTTGTGTGGCCACGAAATCCCCATCTGCAGAGTCACGGTGGCCAGCGGTGGCCGTCGGGTGGCGGGTGCTGGGCTCCATCGAGACGCCAGGGGGCCCACTGGGAGCCAACATCTCGGGCAGGGCAGAGGTGAGGGGGCCGTTGGGTGGGAGGGAAGGCCTGCTGGAGGTGGGTGCTGCCTCAGAGGTGCCCTCAGGGCCCCTGGTGACACTGGGCGTTGCGGCGGGGGCCAGGGTGCTCCCCTCTCTCTCTCCCTTGTCCTCCTCCTGGGAAGGCCCCGCCAGTGGTCCCAGGGACGCAGGGCCCATGGTGCAGGAGACCCCGTCGGGGGCCAGCTCCCAGCCCGGCAGGCAGCCGCAGCGGAAGGAGCCCTGTGTGTTGAAGCACAGGCTGTCACAGGGGCTGTCCCCAGGGCCCGCACACTCGTCCACGTCCTGGCACTGGGTGCCGTCCTCCCCGGCCAGGACATAGCCCTGCTCGCAGGAGCAATGGAATGAGCCGTCGGTGTTGGTGCAGCCCTGGGCGCAGGGCGAGCGGCCAGGGGCGCACTCGTCCACATCCCGACAGGCCCCATCTCCAGAGCCGCCCGGCTCGTAGCCCACCCAGCATTCACAGCGGAAGCCCCCAGGGGTGTTGACACATTCCTGGGCACAGGGGCCATCCCGGCACTCGTCCACATCCACACAGCCCAGCTGACTCGAGTCCCGTTGGAAGCCTTGGGGGCAGCGGCATGCGTAGCTTTTCCCCTGAGGATCAGGGACACATACGGCCTCCCCGCTGCACGGGCTGGAGCTGCAAGGGTTCCGGGAGGCGCAGGTCACTAGGTCGTCTAGCAGCCGGAACCCCGGCCGGCAGCCGCAGCGGAAGGAGCCGTCGCCCCCCTCGAAGCACTCCTGCTGGCAGCCCCCGTTGTTGAAGTCGCAGCCGTGCTTGGGGCTGACACAAAGGGGGCCCGAGCTGCCCCAATCAAACACGTCGGGGTCCTTCTCCTTGCACAGGAAATAATGGCTCGTAGTCTCGTCCCCGTCCCCACAGGTCACATCAGCCCCAGAGGCAAAAGGCACAGTGTCCAGGGAGGAGCTGACAGCCTGGAAGGGGGTGACGTAGGTCACCTGGCCTGGGCCCCCCAGGGCCAGGGGCCGGCACATGCCTTTGAAGCTGAACTTGCACACGAAGCCCTCGATGTTACTTCCGGGCGAGCCGGGGCTCCCACATGGGCCCTCTGACCACTTGGGGAGGCGGCCGGCGGGGAGCGGCACGGACAGGTCCAGTAGCAGGGACACGCAGCGCTTGGAGATGCACGAGCTCCGGACCTCCTTGTGCCAGTTGGCGTAAGGCGTGTCCCCCCCGCCGCCCACCCAGCTAAAGCCCTTCAGCGGCAGGCTGGGGTCCAAGCACTTGCCCTTCTCTCGGTGCAGCCCGATCCAGAACTTGCCCATCCTCACGGCCAGGGGTTCCTGCAGCAGACGCAGGAGCTGGGCCAGGGCTTCCCGGACGTGCTGGGCCTCCTCCTCGCTCTTCACTGTGGCCAGGTTGCCCCCCTTCTGGCTGCAGTTGCTCTGGGCCTCGGCCGCGCTCAGCTTGCCCCAGTGGGCTGTGTAGCAGGCGGTCCCCGCGCAGACCACGGGGTCCCTGTCGTCTCCGGCCCCAGCCCAGGGCTGGCCCAGGAACAGCAGCAGCAGCAGCAGCGGGCCGGTGGCCATTCCACCTCTGCGTCCGCCTCGGCGGAGGTGATAACAGCGACTGGAGCGTCTATCTGGGTCCCCAGCTGTGCCCTGAGGGGAGCCGAGGGCTGAGCGGCAGCTGCTCCAGCACAGAGAAGGACACAGAGGCTGCTCACGTCCCCCTGACCCAAGGCGCATCCTGTGCTGTTGTATTTCTTATTTCTCACCGGATACTGGGGCTTCCTGCAATGAATGGTTTTCTGACTCCTGTTGCCTTCATCACGGTTTTGTTGTTCATAAAAGGAGCCAGGCAGCTTTGCCGGGCCCCTGGCTCAGCACTGTGGAAACGCAGTGGCGTGGAGGAAGACGGGACAGCTCCGGGACACCGCCTGCTTTCCTCCGGTTCCGTGTCTCTCCCATCCGCAAGAGGAACCGAAACGGCTAGCTACTGAGCGAGCAAAGACATTGGGGGCTAGGAACTTGAGACAGCTCACTTAGCAACCCATAATAAAATTCCCTTTTGGTTTGCAAAAACAGAAAGGGGGGGAAAATTCTGAGACTTAAGACACAAGGCCGTGGATGGTTATAATTTCCAGCCTTTTTTAGAAGCAAACTGGATTTTTCTTTTGCCTATCTCATGTTCCCCTTGTTGGCTTTGGGAGTCTTTTTTCTTTTATTCCCCCCATCATGAACTTTAAATAGATAGTCAGTTTTTAAATAGGAACCGGGCCGTGGGAATGTCTGGGTTGCTAACACAATGCCAAGCTCTCTGAGAAATTAAACCAAATTGGGTGAAATTTGGCAGTTTTCAGGATTTCAGAGTGCAAATATTGCATTGTGAGGTGGCAGGGTCACAGAAAGCACCAAAAAGAAAAGAAAACAAAAATGTCTCTGGTGTCACGGCCCTGGGTTTGCAGGCCTGCCTCCCCCGGCAGAGAATTACTGGGAAGGGCCAGAGTTCTGGGCAGGGAATGAAGATCAGAGCCACTGCAGGCCTCCTGGGACACCACGACTCATCAGAAGCCTTCAAATCAAAGGGTTCCTTTCCTGCAGCCACAGACATCTGCTCGTCGGGGCTGCTTTGGGTTGGGGTCCCTCACAAGGAGACCCTGAGACAAGGATCTGGGGTGGGTAGTTTATTTGGGAAGGGAAGTGGAACAGGTGAGGAAGGAGCTGGCCCATGACAATTTGCAGAGCAGGCAGGTGGCCCAGGGACTGCTAGAGCCACAGCCACACCTCAGCGCCAGGCAGCTCTCCGGCAGCTGGTTGTGCTTCTCTCTAAATGGGTCTTGAGGTCTCTCTCAGCAGGGTGGCTATAAGCTCTAGCCCTGCCCACCTGGCCAGGTGTACCTCTCACAGGAAGCCTGTGCATACAGGTGGACGCCTTTGTGGCTCTGGTCTGACCCGTGTGCAGTTGACGCCTACTACAATAGCCAGTCTCTAGAGACACCTGGCAGAGGAGAATTATGCTCAGGTGAGTCGGTCAGGTGGGACATGGGGAGTTGAAACAAGAAAACACGGGAAGTAACAGAAGCAGCATGTCACTTACAGGGCCCAGAGAGGAGATGGAGGCCCCCCTCAACCGCTCAGAGGCAGCGGGAAGTGGGGAGCCATCGGGATGCTCAAGCCCAACCAACAGGTAGCGAGCAAAGGGGAAGAGAGAGGGACCGCCTGTATTGGGGTTCAGGGCTTTCCCAAGCAGGTTCCCTTGGGGACATAGGTTCGGCACGGGCAGGGGCAAGCTCCATGGGGTTCCACTGTGACTGAGAGGTGGCATCGTGGCATATCTGGGCAGTCCACGTGGGGAGCATCAGCCAGGCTGCACCCAGCTGTCCCACAGGGAGCTGGTCACCAGGAGGCGGCTGCATAAGGCAGATATTATATCTGGACCAACCACGCTGAGGAACCGGGAGGAGACAGAGACAGAGAACTGGAAACTCTGTCAAGGGCGCTGAGCCCTGCTTCTGGTAGGAGATGGTCCAAATTCCATTCAAAATGGATGCCAGGGCAACTACAGTTATAAGAATTTACTGCACGGGGCAGCTATTTGGCGCCTCTGGTCTGCTGGCAAGGCTGGATACACCAGAGGAAATGCTCGGGTGGAGAGTCATAGGGCACTGCCACTGGGCGTGACACCAGCAATTGTCGTGCCAGCCTCCAAGAGATGTGAGTTGGGGTGTCAGGGGGCTAGGAGCTCGCCGGCTCCCTGCCTCCCCACCCTCCCCGGTAGGTAGGGTGCCCACCCCAGACTCCAGCTGGAAACTGCTCAGAGGATGCGCCTCAGTCCTTTGGGACCCTCTCATGGAAGCCACAGTGTCCTCCCTGCACTCCTCGGAGGCCCTATGAAGGTCCATCCATGCATCCCTCCAGCAGCCCTTAATATAGGTCCTACTATGCGCTGAGCTAGGAGCTGGACTCCAGGAGGGAACTACTGCCCCACCATCCTCGTAGTCTATCAGAGTGGAAGAATTTGAACAAGTCTCGGCATTGATGTTTCACTGCAGGCAACATGGGGAGGAGTCCAGGGTGTTTGGAGAGGTCATTGCAGGGTAGTGACCTGCTTGGGGAGTAGGCAGTTAGGAAATGCTCCTCTGGGGAAGGAAAATGATAAAGCTGGAATCTGGGTAGCTAAGAGGCAGGATGGTGTCCAGATGGGGGAGCAGCTCGTACCAAGGACAAGGGCGTGGGTGCAGGGCTGGAAGACTGCAGAGGGGGAATGGCGGGGGGAGCACGCAGGGGAAGGGGAGTCCTGCAGCCCAAATGATGAGGGTGCGGGGCTTTGTTCTGAAATCCGTGGGGAGGTGCTGAGGGCAACGTGAGCCCTGCATGTACAGTATGAACCCCAAGTGCTGTGGGGGGACCACTCAGCAGGTGGCCACAGGTTCCCAGGCCCAGGGACAGCAACTTGGACTGGGCTGGCCCCTGGGTTAGAGGCCACCGATTGAGGAGGTGCTGAAGGTCCAGGTCAGACCACTGTTGGTGCCGGGTAAAGCAGGGTGGAGGGCACAGGGGCAGGTGTGCAGAAGGACTTCCCCACCAGAGCTGGGGAGGTAGCCAGGGGTGAGGGAACGTGGGAAGGCTGGTGTCCTGGCTCCCGGCCAATGTAGCTGGCCATACATTTGGGCTTGGTGAGGGTCAGTGTTGACCCCTACCTGGGAGCAGCTACATTTCTCAACATTTATTCACAGGCAAATGACTCCCGAACATTCTATGAAAACTCTCTGGCAGGCTTGGCTTTGGGCTGTGTGCAGCCAGCGTCCACTCAGAGGGGAGCCTGTCTGCGGGTCTAGCCCTTTGTCTGTGCAGCCCAGGGCTAGATTCCTCAGCTAACTTGAGATCTGCAGGATCGCCCAGCCTGCTGCTTACTTGGTGTTCATACGGGCTGCATGAGTGACTTACAGCTTGTTAGCCACTCTGACTCCCAGATCTTTGTCAAGGTATCTTCTTTAGCTATCAGTTCTTCTTCCATGTGGGAACTTTCAAATCAACTACACTTTGACCAAGTATTGACATCTTAAAGGAGAAAATGAACTAGCAAGAAGAATGCTCAGTTTATTCATCCATTAACCTAGGAAGCATAATATGAATATTGGTAAAACACCAACTGTGAGAAAGGCCATAGAAAATGCAGGAACTGCCCTGCCCTGGCATTTTTGGATTCTACTTCCCTTATTTCTAGTACCCTGGTTAATGCAGCCGTGGGTCTCACCTCCCTCCTCTGTAAATAAGGAGGTGAAGACTGAGCCTCTGGACACCTTTCTTGTTCTAACATTAACAACTGTGAAATCACACTTTGTTCCCCCCTCTGGAACTGGGGGAGAGAGCGGGCACTGAGGCTTCGACATACCACAGATGCAACCAAATCTCTGTCTGAACCACAGGTATGCAATTTCCTCCAAAAATGACCCACCGAGTGTAAAAAATACAGGACAGTTTCCTACTGGTTATGACCTCTCTCCATGTCCCCCGTGTCTTCTGATTTGCTCCCCGTCCCTTGATCCTTTGGCTGCTGCCTGCTGAGCTGGGCTGGGTTAATTCACCTGGACCACTCACAGCTGGATGTCCAGGTCCAGGTCACCCCAGCTGTCCTCTCCTGAGGACACCAGTGGGGCATGCTCCTCAGAGAAGGTGACAAGGGAAATGAGGCACGACGCATGAGCTCAGGGGCAGAGAGAGAACTCTCTCTTCCTGGGTGGGATTTAGTGGAGTTTTATGTAGTATTTAATATGGTCTGAATGCAAACTTTGAGGCACTTCTGCACCCCACACAGTAAATTCCCCTGGGTGGTGATTGATCACATTGTATTTGGAAAGCAGATTGTATTAAACCCCTCCAACGACAGATCCCTAAACAACAGGAACCAGCAGCTGGAAGACTGAAAGAGCTTTCCTTGGCAGATCTTTGGACGGAAGCTGTGCCAGGTGTTCTAGAACCATGGCAGGCCTAACAGCATGGTGTGTGCCTGAGCCATGGCCCCAGACTCTCTAATTGAACTCTGGAGTCTTAATGAGTACTCCGAGCTTTCTTTTTAAATTGCCTTAAAAATTTACTTCGCATTATGCCAGGAATGGAATGTTCTGATTTCAAATATGGGGAGAGTATAAGCTTGATTGTTTGGGAGCAGACTAATTGGTTTGTGGATCATTCAAGCATCCAGCTTCTCAGGTTTTTTTTTTTTTTTCCTCTAAACTAAAAATTGAATGAAGGAAGATACATGAAGTACACTGCATTTTTCTTGGGACAACATACAACAGGTACTCAATGTATATCGGTTTGTTCCCCCATTTGTTCATTGACTCAGTCAATGTAGATCGAGCACCTACTATGCACTGGGCTGCTCTGCACATTGAGGGGGAGGAACTTGGGTTTGGTGCCGTATGAGCTTTGTAGCAGGCAGCAGGGGCCGAGGGACAAGAGGATGGGGGACTTCACTCAGCTAGAGCGCTGCTCTCTCGCTGAGTGAAGGATGAGTTCCAGAGCTGGCCCAAGTAAGCAGGGGACACCAGCCATCTGAGATGGTCAGGGTGTCCCAGAGAGGAGGACGTGCATTCCACCGGGCCCGTGGGTGGCCAAGCTGGGGGCAGAGCACAAAGCGGGTGCAGATTGGAGACATAGGAGTTGGAGGAAACAAGAGGGTGATTCATTTGCAGAGAATTCGAAACTAATAATACTAATGAAAAGGCAGTCTTCTTGGTATTATCTTTTAATTTGTCTTTTTTACTTTTGCCAAGTCCCAGCAATTCTAAACAAGGTCAATGATAAAATTCTCCTCCCCCTAAAAAAGCTTTTACTGGTCTAAGTTCTAAACACTGTGGTCATCACTGTTGTTTTAATAACATATATAAGCTTCAGGTTAGCACCTTTTAATTGCTTATTCTATTTTTTTATTTCGGCATATTGGGGGGGTACAGATTTTAAGGTTTCAATAAATGCCC